GGTCCTTGGCTTCGAAGTCCAGTTGCTTTTTTGTTTTTTATTTATTTATCTTTTATTATTTATTTATTTATTATTTTTATTCATTTGTTTATTTATTTTATTTTATTTATTTGTTTATCTATTTATTTATTTTTATTTTTTTTTTTACTTATTCATTTTAGGAGGTGGGGGGTTACGAGGGGCTGAAAGGGGGGGGGGTATAAAGGGGGGGGTTGTTTGAAGATTTCTTTTCTCTCTCTCTCTTTTTGTTTTGATATGTTTCATTTTCTTTTGTGTCTCTTTTCCCTTTTTTATAGTCTGTCTCTTTCTCTCTGTCTTAATTACTTTTCTTATATCTCTTTTTTTCTATTTGTTTGTCTGTTTGTATTAATTTTTTTTCTGTCTGTTTTGGGGTTGTCTATCTATCTATCTGATTCCTCTTTGTCTGTCTCTTTTCTCTCTCTCTCTGTCTGCCTGTCTGTCTGTCTCTCTCTCTCTTTCTCCCTCTCCCTCTTTCTCTCTCTCTCTCCCTCTTTCTCTCTCTCTCTACGCATGCCTTTATTGATTTTAGTTTATCAAATTAATTCGTTCTTGGTGCTTTCCTCCTGTCTCCCATCTATCTTCCTGCTCCTTTAATACTCCTCTTCCTCCTCCTCCTCTCCTCCCCTTCCTGTATCTCTTTTTCTTCCTTCTCCTTCCACTTCTTTCTTCTTTGTCTTTTTTTTTCTCCTTCGTTCTCTTATCTTTCTGTTTCTTCTCTTTTTACTTGCTGTTAAAACAGTTACGATTGTTAATACTCAACACATGTAATTCTCCCTATAAATTTCCTTCAAAATATATCTTTCTCGTTTTCTTTCACTATTTTTCGCTTTCTTATCTTCCGCTGCTGCCCCTTTTAAGATTTTAAAAAATTCTCTTATTTTTTGCTGATCTATTTTTTTCCTTCGGTTTATCTTTTTTATTCACTTTTTTATTTTTTATTCCTCCATTTACTTTTCTTTCTTTTTTTCTTTTTTTTTTTGTCTTATCTTTAATTCTCTAAATCTTTCTATCGTCGATTTTTTTTCTCTCTCTCTTTCCCGTAAATCAAATCCTCATTAACTTTCCGACGCCTCTCTTTGTCTTCGTCTTATGCCTCATTTATCCTTTATTTTAGGACCCCAAAAAGGTCATTATTCCTTTCTTATTTCATTTTACACTCTGAGGACTCCATTGTTGCCAACCCCGCGTGGTTATCCTCTCGTGGAATGGGAGTGTTGGTAATCCTGAGGGAAATGGTTTCATGTTTTCTTTTTTCTTTTTCTTTTTCTTATTCGTTTTCTTGTTATTTTTTCTTCGTCTCTTTCTCTTGTTTTTTAGTTTTTCTCTTTCTTTATATATTTTCATCTTTTTTCTTCTTCTTCTTTTCTCTCTATATTTTTATTTTTTCTTGTCTTTTCCCCCTTTTCACCGTATATTCTCAGTTTTGTGTTTCTTTTTCCCCTTTTCTCTTTATATTTTCACCTTTTGTTCCTGATTTTCCCTTTTCTTGTTTATGTTTTCTTCAATTTCTGCTTCTCACTTCGTTTATTTTCTTTGCCATCTGACCTTTTTTGTTCTTTCTATTTTCTTCTTTCTCTTTCTTTATTCCGTTCTTGTTTTCCCCTTTCTGTCTGTTTCTCTCCCACTTTCTTTCTATGTCTTCCCCTCTTTCTATCTAAATAATTCTCCTTTCCTTTTCAATCATCTTTTTTCCCTTTTCCATTTTCTCCTTTTCATTTCAAATATCATATATATATACATACATACATACATACATATATATATAATATATATAATATATATATTATATATATATATATATATATATATATATATATATATATATATATATATATATATATATATATATACATATACATACATATATATATATATATATATATATATATATATATATATATATATATATATATATATATATATATATATATATATGTATGTATGTATTATTCTTATTCTCTGCCTTTCTTTTCCCATCATGTGTTTCCCCTCTCTTCATGTTCTCCCTTCCAAATATTATATAAATATATCCTTTTTCTTTCTCTCTTTTTAATTTTATTGCTATATATCCTTTTTCTTCCTTTCTTTTTACTCTTTCTACATTTTTTTTTTTAATTCTCTGCCTTTTTCACAAACGACCCAGAACGTAACATCAGTGAAGTCGACGTCTAATTCACTTCAGCTTCAAGCATCTCCTCGTGCATGGCTGCTGCAAGGAAGCTCGTTGAAGCGTCGAAGGGATTCTCTCGCAGAAAGAAATATTTAGATGTGAAAAAAGACGAGAAAACGCGATAAAGATGGACATAAAAGAAATTTCAAATCATATCAAAATCTCATTAACATGCAGAGCTTATGTTTGCTTCCGTTGTATTAGGATCATACATTCTCTTTATTTTTATTTATCTATTGTTATTAATATTATTATTATTTTTTGTATGTGTGGGAGGGAGGGGTATATATAACATTTTTACTTATTAATTTTATTTTTTTTTTATTTATCTATTGTTATTATATATATATATATATATATATATATATATTTATATATATTATATATATTTTTTTTTTTTTTTTTTTTTTTTTGTGGGAGGGGGTATATATAATATTTTTACTCTTTTTTTTTTTGGGGGGGGGGTACATATATAACTTGACGGTGTGATTCTTGAAATCATAAAGTTCATATCATGAAATATTGACTGGGCTGTTCAAATATAAAAAAAGAAATATTGGGATCTCTGGAACGACATATTTCAAAATCCATCATAACCGCGGAATTATTGAGATTGAATTGCCAATCTCTTCACCAACATTTATCGTAATAGTTCTTCTACATAGTTGAATTGTAGTAAAATTGCGTTTCTTTTAGAACATTTGATTACTTTCACAAATAATATATTCGAGACTGAGAACTTTTCCCAACTGCAACATTCCTCCCACATTATATACCCCACCATAGACCCCTCCCTCCCTTCCCCCTCCCCCCTCTACACAAAAAAGGAGAGAGAAAGAAAAAGAAAAGAAATAGATAAAAAAAAAGGAAGTAAGCTCCCAGAGAAAAGATAATGCAGTTTTGATGAAAGTGGCAGAAGCTGTAGCTGGTTTCTCAACTCTCTTGCCATCTTTTTTTTTTTTTCGTCGAGGGCTAAGTAATTTTACAAAATAATCTCGTGCATATTTTGCTGAAATCTTAAGAATCCTATTGTTTTAGGAAGAAAAAGGAAAGTCTTACATTCTTTTCAGAGACGTACATCTTCTCTGTAAGGTATTTTTAGTTTACAAATGGTAGGAATTTCCTCCTATTATTGTTTGTTTTTTTTCACTTCTTTCTTTCATTATTTTTTCTTTAGTTATTGTGCCTAATTCTTCTTTTTATATTACAAATGGTAGATATTTCTCCTGTTGTGTTTTTTTTTTCCACTTCTTTCTTCCATTTCTTTTCTTTAATCATTGTGTCTAATTCTTCACCAAGCTGTCAATCAACTTAAATTATCTATCGAACTGCATTAACTCATTACAGCTTTTATGAAGTTGAAGCCATCTGCTTGAAACCTTATAAGGAAAAGGAGGCGGGGCGAACAGAAGGCCCCGCCCACAAACGCTCTAAAAACAACACTTATCCCTCCATTTTTATTCTCTATTCATTCATTTATTCATATTTACGGATTGAAACGAGGGAGGGCGAATAGAAAGCCACGCCCACAAACACTCCAAAAACAACACTTATCCCTCCATTTTTATTCTCTAATCATTCATTTATTCATATTTACGGATTGAAACGAGGGAGGGTAATAAAAGCCACGCCCACAAACACTCTAAAAAACAACACTTATCCCTTCATTTTCATTTGCTATTTATTCATTTATTCATATTTACGGATTGAAACGAGGGAGGGCGAATAGAAAGCCACGCCCACAAACACTCTAAAGAAATATCAAAAAAAACAATAACACTTATCCCTTCATTTTCATTTGGGATTGAAACGAATTAACGAATGTTGATTTTGTTGAAAAACCCGGAGGGAGAGGATCACAATCCCCTTCGTCTGACACACACAAACCCACTCAAACAACAAAGAAAAACACATTTTAAAAACACCTTTGAAGCTACAGACTTTTTGCTTGTTAGTTTTTTTTTTTTTTTCCTTTTTTTATCTAAAGTTCCGATAAATATTCCAAAGAGGTTTTAAACAAATGGATTTCACAAAATAGAATTTCTTTGCCATATCCGTGAAAAGATTCTAATGTCTGAGTCATTCAGAGAAAAACAAAAAACAAAAATACAAGAACCGGAAAAAAAGGAAATGTGAAAATCAGATTAACAAGAAAAAGGGGGAAAAAAAGAAAGAAAAAGGCGACAGAATGTAGTTCTTTTTCGAAAATAAAAATTCAGACAACTTTGGAATACTTGATAGTGTTTGTCAGTCCTTTCGATAGAGATCCGAAGGAAGTCGACAGTGAGCAAAACATGATGTTCTCAAAACTTTTAATAACCTTACGAAAAACAGAACTTGTAGCAGTTAGAACTCGCGTGCGGCACACACACACACACACACACACACACACACACACACACACACACACACACACACACACACACACACACACACACACACACACACACACACACACACACACACACACACAACACACACACACACACACACACACACACACACACACACACACACACACACACACACACACACACACACACAAGCATCGGCATTGCATGAAAATTAAACACTCGTTCCAAAATAGAATTTCTAACAGCATCCTTAATTAGATCATCCTATATAAATACATATATAAATATATATATATTTCATTTCACAGGAGGACTCCCTCGAAATCAAATCTACATACCTTACACCTCTTTTTTTAAATAAAACAAACATTTTTTTTTTTTTTTTTTTTTTTTTCCCCCCGGCTGATCGGGATCACCGTTGCCAACGCTCACCGCTTCTCCCCTTCCTCCCGCAG